TCCCGAACCAGCCAGGCTCCCCTCAACAGGTCTTTTATAGCCGTTTTTCCAAACCTAGTATTCAAAGTCTACACATTGCACACATTCGGCTATGTCTCTTAAATCTCTTTAATCTTAAATGTCCCTATCCGCTTTTGTTAAAAACAGCACTAACTTTTTGTTGATCCTAAGATAGTTTGTAGAGGATCCGGAAGTTTCCACCTTCCGGACATGTCTGTCTTCTCATGGGGCCATTTCTCTTCCTCTAGCTTCTGTTATTTCTTATAAACTGGAAGTTAGGATTAGAAACTTGATGAGATTCTGGGTGACACCTTTTCTTTTTTTTTTTTTTTAAAGACTTTAATTTTTTAGAGCAGTTTTAAGTTCACAGCAAAATTGAGAGGAAAGTATAGAGAATCCCCATATACCTCCTGCCCCCACTCATGCATAGCCCCCCCCCCCCCCCCCCGCGTTATTGACATCCCCAACCAGAGCGGCCATTTGTTACAGTAGGTAAACCTATCCTGACACATCATCATCACATAGTTTACATTACGGTTTACTCTTGGCTTTGTATTTTCTATGGATTTGGACAACAGTATGCTATTGACATGTAGCCATCGAGGTAGTATCATACAGAGCATTTCCACTGCCCTAAAAGCGTGCTCTGTTTATTCTCTATTCTCTTCCCTCCCCTAACCTCTGGCAAACACTGATCTTTTTACTGCATCCATAGTTTTGTCTTTCCCAGATTGTCATATAGTTGGAATCATACAATACGCAGCATTTTTAAATTGGCTTCTTTCACTTTGTAATATTTAAGTAAATTTAAGACTCCACCATGTCTTTTCACGGCTTGATAACTCATTATAACTCATTTCTTTTTAGCACTGAATAATATTCCATTGTTTCGATACACCACACTTCACCATTCCCCTACTGAAAGACATCTTGGATACTTATTTTTCTTAATTATTTTAATTTTTAAAGGATTTTTTAAATGTTTATTTCTTTATTTTGAGGGAGAGAGAGTGCGCATGTGTACAAGCAGGGGCGGGGCCAAGAGGGAGAGAGAGAATCCCAAGCAGGCTCCATGCTGTCAGCGCAGAGCCGTCCGTGGGGCTCTGTCCGATGAACCGTGAGATCACGACCTGAGCTGAAATGAAGAGTGGGACACGAAACTGACTGAGCCACCCAGGTGCCCCCATCTTGGCTACTTCTAAGTTTTGACATTTATGAATAAAGCTGCAATAATGTAGGCCTTTATACAGACAGAAATAACTTCTAACCAGGGAGCGTGATCACTGGTTCCTATGGTAAGAGTGTGTTTAGTTGTGTGAGGAACAGCTGAACTGCATGCCAGAGTGGCTGTACGATTTTGCATCCTCACCAGCAATGGATGGGAGTTCTCATTGTTCCGCATTCTTGCCAACATTTGGTGTTGCCAGTGTTCCGGTCTGGATTTTGGCCATTCCAGTGGTATGTAGTGGTATCTCATTGCTGTTTTAATTAGTATCTCACTGACGACATATGGTGTGGGGCATCTTTTCGAAGCTTTTGTTTTCTTTAAGGGTTATTTATTGGGATGCCTGCGTGACTCAGTCGGTTAAGCATCTGACTTTGGCTCAGGTTGTGATCTCACGGTTTGTGAGTTCAAGTCCCGCGTTGGGCTCTGTATTGACAATGACTGAAGCCTGCTTGGGATTCTCTCTCTCTCCCATTCTCTCGGCCCCTCTCCTACTCTGGCACACATGTGTGCGCACTCTCTCTCTCTCTCAAAATAAACTAAACCAAAAAAATATTTATTTATTTATTTAAGTAAGTAATCTCTTTACCCAATGTGGGGCTCAAACTCATGACCCTGAGATCAAGAGTTGCATGCGTCGCCTGGTTGGATCAGTCGGTTAAACATCTGACTTCGGCTCAGGTCATGATTTCACGGTTTGTGGGTTCGAGCGCTTGGAGACTGGAGCCTGCTTCGGATTCTGTGTCTCCCTCTCTTTCTGCCCCTCCCCCACGCACACTCTATCTCTCTGCCTCTCTCAAAAACAAATAAACATTAAAAAAAAAAAAAAAAGTTGCGTGCTCCTCTGACCTAGCTGGCTAGGTGTCCCTGTTTTCTTTTTTTCAACTGCTAAAATAAAAATATATATAACATAAAATGTACCATTTTAACCATTTTCGAGTGGCATTAAGTCCGTTCACATAGTTGTGCAACCCCCACTGCTGTCCATCTCCAGAACTTTCCTTCCCATCTTCCCAGACTGAAACTCTGGACTCATTAACCGCTAACCAATCCCTCCTCCCTCCAGACCCTGGCGACCAGCATTCTACTGCCCGTCTCTGTGAATTTGATTACTTGCAACCTCAGAGGGGTGGGATCATACAGTATCTGTCCGTCTGTGGCCGGCGATGCCGGGCCCTGCAGGTGAATCTCCATTAGGAGGCTCAGAGGAGCAGCATCTGCGCAGGCTCCGTCCGCCCCTGCCCGCCCACCTCTCCCACCTGGCCGCCCCCTGCTCCCCAGCCTCTCCGCCCCAGCTGCTCAGCCCTCTCACACCCTTTCAGGGCCTTCGCATTTGCCTTCTCTTCCCGGCAGGCTCCTTGGTATCTTCTAGATTTCAGCTTGAATGTCACCTCTGCATAGAGGCCAAAACTGTTTCCTTATAGTCCCTGTTTCTTTTTTTCTGTTTGATTTTCTTCATGGCACTCACCATAGCCTGATATTATACCCTGTTTGTTATGTCGCCATTTATCATCAGCCTCCAGATTAAGATCTACAATAGCAGGGACCAGCGCCCTGGCCTGTCCCACATCCTGGTAATGTACCCGGCACAAGACAGGGGCTTGTATTAGTTCCCTCTTGCTGCTGTAGGAAATAACCACAAACTCAGTGGCTTCAAACAACACAAACTTACCATCTTACAGTTCAGGAAGCCCGAAGTCCTAAATCAGTTTCAGTGGATGGAAATCAGGTGTTGGCAGGACTGTGTTCCTTCTGGAAAGCTCTTGGGGAGAATCTGTCTCCTTGCCTTTTCCAGCTGCCTGTGTTCCCAAGCTCATACTCCTGCATCACCCAGACTTCTGCTTCTGTCATTCCATCTCCTCCTCTATGATGCTCTCTCTTTTTTTTTAAATTCTTTAAATTTATTTTTGAGAGAAAGAGACAGAGCATGAGCAGGGGAAGCGCAGAGAGAAGGAAACACAGAATCCGAAGCAGACTCCAGGCTCTCACCTGTCAGCACAGAGCCCAGCACGGGGCTCGAACTCATGAACTGCAAAATCATGACCTGAGCTGAAGTCGGCTGCTTAACTAACTGAGCCACCTGGGTGCCCTTGACCCACTCTTATAATGACTCTGTGATTACATCGGGTCCACCCAGAGAATCCAGGAAATGTCTCTATTCTACACTCTTTAACTTAAACACATCTGCAAAGTCGTTTTTACCTGTCAGGTCACATATTCACGAATTTCCGGAATTAAGATGTGGGCACATTGGGAGAACCATTATTTTGTCTATCACAGGGCTGATTAAATATGTGCTGAATGAATGAATAAGTGGGTGGATGAGTCCCTTTGCAAATGGAGTGGCGAGTCCTGAATTCTAAGGCTGGCTCAGCCGCTTACTGGCTGTGTGACCGTGGGCAAACCCTCTTTCTCTGAGCTATGGTGTCCTCCTTAATTAGATGTGTCCTGAACACCCACAATGCACCCCTCTCATGGTGGACACTGGGAATGCTGAGACAAATAACAATAGACCCTTGCCTTCCAGGAAGGGAGAGTTTGGCTTCTGGGAAGGGGCCTCAGAAAGAGAAAACCTGGCATAATCTGCTCAGGTCCACGTTCCAGGTCACCCCACTGAACTTGCAAGTCCTGAGGGGGTGTGCCTGAGAGGGTGTTACCTAAAAGGTGACATTTCAAATGATGCATGAGTAGGAGTTCATGTGGTAGAGAAGTAGAAAGGGCATTGACGGCCAGGGAGAGTCTGTAGACCTCTTTGAGGAACTATGCTGTGGGGAGTGTGGTGTGATCTCTCAGGGGAAGGAGACCAGTGTGGGAGGGGGCATGTTTGGAAAGGAGGCCTTGAAGGCCACAGTCAGGAGCTTGGGCTCTGTCCTCAGGTCAAAGGGCCAGAGCAGGGTTTTGAAGCAGGAGAGAGGCCTGTGCGCTGAATCTGGGCCGCACTCTGGCTGCTGTGGTGTGGAGAGGGGATGGGGGCCAGCGTCTGAGCCCGAGGTGGAGGTGGCCTGGACTGGGCAGTGACAATGGGGACGGCAGGGTAAGGGGATAGATCCAAGAGAAATGTAGGAAGTAGAATGAGTGAGATATGAGGAGAGGAGAAGGGGAGGGGTGAGGAAGAGCTTGGAGACAGCAGGGAAGGACAAACAGGCAGGATGGGAACGTATGGAGCCTTTGAAACTGTTGAGGGGATCATGAGTTGGCCCACGTTGGGATTTGGGGAGAAGCGGCAGAAGATGCTAGTGAGGGCCACAGAAACCAGCCCAGCGGATTCTCACGCCTCTCCCTTTGACAACAGATCAATGATGAAGATGATCAAGGGTGTGGATGGGCCTCCGTCCCAGGTGAGGGTTTAGGGCTGGTCAGCCTCTGTCCACATTCTCACTTGTCTTACCGACAGCCACTGGGGTAAACAGGTAGGGCTGTGAAACCATCGCCCCCATTTCCAGATGGGCAAACTGATCCCAGAGCCATCCAGTGGCATGGCAAAGACCACACCGTGCGAGGACTCCGGGGAGCACAGGCCTCTAAGAGCCCCAGCTCAAGGGGGATTTTACAAGTCTCTTGAGACCCAGAGGGAAGGACAAGGCGGGGGTCCCCTCTGAGCTGTTCCAAGCCACAGAGAATTTCCTTCTATTTGGAGGAAGCGGGAGTTCTTCTTTCGTAATGTGAATGTCAGAGATTCTGGGCCCACCGGTGACTAAGAGTGTCTGAGGCTCGTGGGTGTAGCAAGTACTTAAATACTAGACCCTCCTGTCATCCGGTGATTACAGACACCTGGGCTGGGACACACAGGACAAGAGCATGGCCAGCCTGAAGACTCTGTTCCTGGCTGTCCTTGTTCTCCTTGCTGTGACGCTTCAAGCAACTGAGGCAGGTGAGGCTGGGGAGAGGGAAGACTCCCTGTAGAGGCCAGGGTCAGACACTGGGGTATCTTCCTCGTGTAGTGGAAAGAGGAGTGGACTGAGAGCAGATGACCCCAGTCTGCTACTGGCTCTGAGCTGGTCACGTTGTTTTTCTGGGCCTCAGTTTACACATCTGTTAAATGGGTAGTCTTTTTAAAAAAATTTTTAAATGTATCTATTATTTATTTAGAGAGAGAGAGAGTGCTCAAGCACTGCACCAATAGCACAGAGCCTGATGTGGGGCTTGAGCTCACGAATCCTCGAGACTATGACCTGAGTCGAGATCAAGAGTCGGATGCTTAACCGGCTGTGCCCCCCAGGCACCCTAAATGGGTAGCCTTGAAGGCGTGGAGTCTAGAATCTGTCCCAGCTGGGTTGGGGGCTGGTGGCAGACATGGCCTGCTGTCCCCTACTCCAGAGAATGCAAGCATAGGATGCTTGGGGGGGCTGGAGAAGGAGCCACCAAAAGGAGTCATCTAGGATGGGACGAGGAAGGAGCTGGCATGACGGATACCCTCTTGGAAAGCTGGTCCTGCTCTTCTGCCACTTCATTTCTGCTCCAGAACCTTCCCTCCACACCGAGGCCCTACCTTCTCTTCTCCGTCTCAGTGTAAATCCTCCTGCCCTGTGTTGGATCAGGGCACGAGCCCTGGATTGGGAACCAGGCAGCTATCCTTGGGTTTCCTGAGAGCTTTTCCTGCATTAAAAGCCCCATCAGTTTGGTATTATTATCACCCCTTGAGTCAGAGGAGGAAACTGGGCCTCAGAGATGCTACATGAGTTGCCCAGGAAGGCTCAGTGACTCGGGGCCGAGCAGGACCCATACCCAGGTCCGCATGACTGGACTCTGCCTGAGACCTTGTCCTAACTCTCCAGAGTCATGCTGTGTGATTCTGGGCAAGTCGTCTCCCTCTCTGGCTCTCAGCCTCCCCACGTGCACCAGGAAGGCTGCAGGAGGTGTGAGCTGAAGCAGACTTCTTGGATTGCCTGGAGACTCATCAACATGCATGTCTGACTCAGTGGGGCCGGGGCTGGGTGCCAGGCATTTCCAACCAGCTCCTAGGTGATACTGATGGTCCTGGTCCAGGGACCTCGCCTACAATAGCTGGGCCTTAGGGTGCCTGGATGGCTCAGTCGGTTATGTGTCCGACTTCGGCTCAGGTCATGATCTCACAGTTCATGGGTTCAAGCCCCGTGTCGGGCTCTGTGCTGACAGCTGGAGCCTGCTTCAGATTCTGTGTCTCCCTCTCTCTCTGGCCCTCCCCTGTTCATGCTGTCTCCCTCTCTCAGAAATAAATATTTTTAAAAAAATAGCTGGGGCTTCTGCCTGTGCAGAGTCTCTGGGTCCCACCTAGAAGCTTCAGGCATCATTGGTTCTCAGTCGTTGTGAATCCCTCTGCCTCCACCAGGCCGGCCCAGATGGTAGACATTGAGCCCTTAGTGCTCCTCTGAGACCCTGAGATGGGGGACTCTGCGGACTCAGAGTCCTCTGGGCACCAACCTTCCGCATGAGAACAGAAACGCTGGCTCAGAGGACGGGGCTGAGAGGGACCCGTCCGTGCCCAGTTGGTGAATCTCCCAAACATCTTCCTCCCCCAGGCCCCTATGGCGCCAACGTGGAAGATAGCATCTGCTGCCGAGACTACTTCCGGGGCCCTCTGCCCTTCCGCATGCTGAAGTACTTCTACTGGACCTCGGACTCCTGCCGGAGGCCCGGCGTGGTGTGAGTAGGGGAGGCAGGGACGGCGCGGTGTGAGGAGTAGGGGTGTGAGGAGTAGGGGTGTGAGGAGTAGGGGAGGCAGGGACGGCGCGGTGTGAGGAGGGGAGGCAGGGACGCGGCCGGGAGCGCCCAGCAGCGGGCCGACCCAAGGATGGGAGGAGCGCAGCCGGCCTCCATCCTAGAAACAGCTGGGCCCGGGCTTGGAGGGGACCAGGAGAAAGCGCCACACGATCATTCAGCAGCTAAATGTGGACGCCCGCTGCCTGCCGGGCTCTGAGGATGCAGGGCTGAATGGGTAGGGCACCAGCTGGCGGTTTACACGCTGCAGAGCGTGGGGGCAGTGCAGAGCTGTAGCGTGGGGGGCTCCCATCAGCAGCACCTGGGGCCCCTCCTCCCCGGCGCCCTGGGCGTTATCTGAGGCGGCCGATTCGCCCCAGAGGAATACGGAGCTGACATACCATCCGGGGTCCAGGCGCGGTTCTCGGGTAACCCTCCCGGCAGAGCTACTAGAAGCGCGATCATTTCCATTGTTTTTCAAGTTTATTTATTTTGAGAGAGAGAGAGAGAGAGAGAGAAGAGTGAGTGGTGGAGGGTCAGAGAGAGCGGGAGAGAGAGAATCCCAAGCAGGCCCTGCACTGTCAGCAGGGAGCATGAGGAAGGAGATCACCACCTGAGCTGAAATCGAGTCGGATGCTCAACTGACCCAGCCACCCAGGCACCTCAATTTCCATTTTATGAATGGAGAAGCAGGTGCGGGGCAGGGGGTGGGGGGGGGATTCGCTCTAGGCTGCCCTGTTGGAACCGGGACTCCCGGGTCCTCGTTCCGGGCTTTCTCCTGAGGTTCTTGCTCTCCTTTGCCTCTTTCCCTCCGCTTCTTTACTTCACTGCCTGTCCCTGGGGCCGCCGTCCCTGGGGCTCCAGCTCCTTCCAGACTGTGGCCTACGAAGCCACTCACCAGGGTGTCTAGGCTTGGGGGCTCCATCATTATCTCCTCATTTGCTCCTCCTTACTCCTCATCCATCCCTTGGGGGTGGGGTCTGCAGGTGAATAACAAAAAAGTGGGTTTTGGTCACTTCGATGCAGAGCCTCTGTGTCCCCATCAGTGTAACAGGAGGGATCACCTTCATTTATTTTTATTTACCAAACATTTAGAGAGGGCTTGCAGGCACTGTTGTAAACACTTTATAAATATTAACTCATTTAATCCTTGAAACGACCTTATGTTGTAGGTACTGTTATGGTGCCCTTTTTACAGATGAGGAAATGGGCCCAGAGAGGTTATGGGGCCTCCTGAGCATCACAGAGCACAGGAATAGGAGGTGGAAGGTGTGATGCTCGATGCCTGGCATATAATAGAGGCTCAAATACAGCACATGTGATTATTGGATTGTGAGCCAGAAGGGACTCTGCAAAGAATGTGTCTTGACAAATGGGGAGATCAAGGTTCAGAGAGGGGCTGAGTCTCCCCCAGTGTCACACAGCGGCCCGGGCAAGCTGCCCACACTGCTGCCTTCTTTTTCTTTCTGTTCATTGGGTGTCTGTGGGGTGAGGGGCAGATCAGGGGAGTAAGGAAAGCCAGAGCTTCTAGGCCTCATGGACAAGCTCTTGAGAGATAGGAAGGGAGCCAGGCTGGGGGGGGTGTCTGACCACTGGCCAGCTCTAAGTCCCTTCCCTCCCACAATGGCCGAGGCACAGTGGCTGAAGGGCCTGGCCTGCCACTTACTGCACCTGGGACAAGGGGGGAGATTTAGCCTGCAACTGCCGTGTGATCTGGGGTCAGTGTCTACTCCTCTGCTCTGTGCTGTGTGCCCCCAGGGACCTCAGTGAATCAGATCATACCAGCTCCACACTCGGGCAGGCTGCTTTACCCCTTCAGGCCCCACTTTCCTCACCTATGAAATGGATATAATAATAGGGCCTATTGGGTTGTTGTTGTAAGGACTTTTTAAGAAAATCAATGTTAAGGGGCGCCTGAGTGGCTCAGTCGGTTAAGTATCCAACTCTTGGTTTCGGCTCAGATCACAACCTCAGTTTCCTGAGTTTGAGCCCCGCATGGGGCTCCGTGCTGATAGCTCAGAGCCTGGAGACTGCTTGGGATTCTGTGTCTCCCTCTCCTTCTGCCTCTCCCCTGCCCACATTCTGTCTGTCTGTCTGTCTCCCTCAAAAAATAAATAAACATTAAAATAAACTTAAAAAAAGAAAAGAAAAGAAAATCAATGTTAAAAGTCCAAGCCAGCCCCTGGTACAGTTAAGCGCCTACTATCTGCTGTGCACTGCTCCTAACACTCCCGTTTATATTAATTCATCTAATCTTCATTCAAATCCCATGACGTTGGACCACGATTGTTATCTTCATTTCACAGATGTGCCATCTAAGGGATGTGCTAACAATGGCAGAGTGAGGCCAGAGGAACTGGCTCCAAAGTTCACGTTCTTGGCTATGATGCCAGCAATGATCACGAGATTCTTGGGTGTTCTATTTCCTGGCCTGACCTGGCACTCAAGCCTAGACCAAGAGTCCAGGAAATTCTAGCTGCCTTCCCTCCCCCCACTCCCCTGCCACCGCGCTTAAGAAGTATGTTTATGTACAACGGAGCCTCCTAACCTTTGAACCACTGTATATAGTAGGTACCCCTGCATAGGGAGGGTGCCTCATAAATGCTAAGTGACTCTGGCTAGCGGGCATCTCTGCATACATAAGTGACTCATAAATGTTAAGCTTCCAGAGAAGGGATGTGGCACCTTGCTGCGTGCTAATGACCCCTCATCACCTCCCTGATGTCTCTTTCCAGGTTCCTAACAGTCAGGGACCGGGAGATCTGTGCTGACCCCAGGCTGCCCTGGGTAAAGAAGATTCTGCAGAAGCTGAGCCCATGAGGAAGGGCCCTGCCCTGCTGACCGTGGCCTTGGCTCCTCCAGGAAGGCTCACAGAGCCCTACCTCTCAGCCGTTACGGCCGCGCCTCAACAAAGCCGATGGATCTCTCTGCAATCTCTTACCTCTGTGCCTATAGCTGTCACCCCAGAGGAGCCGCCACACGGTCATTCATCCCCTCTCTTGTCCCTCTAACCCATTCTCTGCCCCACCGCAGCCAGAGGGGCCACGATCCTAGTCAGTTACTCTGCTGCTCAAAACCATGAGCAGCATGGTTCCATGGGGTTCCATGGCTCCCCAATGCCCCAAGCTGAGGTGAGAGCTCCTGGGCCCAGCACCCCTGTCGCCAGCCCTGCTTCATTTCCCTTCACACTTGTTGGACCCCAGCTCCCTGTCCTCCACATCTGTGCCGTACATTTCCACTTCCCGGCCTTTTCCCAGGGAGGCCTCCCCACCACCGGTGCTTGTCCGGCTCTGCCAGCCCTCTGAGGCTCTGCTCCACCCAAGCAGCCAACAATTTTTATTTTTCAACTATCCCCTGGCCCTCTGTCCCCTCTTAACAGCCCTGATCACAGTCTGCCCAGAATTCTCAGGACTCAGGGGGCTCGTCCTCCAGCCCCACTGGCTGGATCATGGTCTCACACCTGTTACTTTGTCTACTGGCCTCCAACACAGAGCACAGGGCCTGGCTCAGAATCAGGGCTTGGTGAATGGCTACAGACAGAATCAATAAAAGTAATGTTCCTCTGCCATGGCCCATCCCCCAAAGGCCCTGACACATCAATACAGAGACTCGAGTTCATCTAGAAAGCAGCCAGTTGAGTCAATTGTGAAGCCTCAGATTTACCCAGATTCACCTCTCTTCCCCATTTTACCCTTGTGTTGGGTCTCTTTACTCTTTCTTGTTTCCCTCTTGCTCCTCTAACCTCTGACACCCAGGCTTGATGTCTTTAGAGTTCTCCACTTTCCCTTTCTTCTTCCCCAAATAACCCATAGCCAAATTTATGCTATGGTGTGAATGACTACCCTTGGGGCTTGCTATTGCAAGCTCTAGCTGTATTTCTATAAGAAAAGAGGGCAAATGCTTAAGAAGCCAAAGAGATGAATGGAAAGTTTTTGGGACTGTGTGGGAGGCGGATGAGGTGGAGCTTTCCTGGCCCTACGAGTGTGTAGGCTACAGTTGAGTGAAGGAGCCTTGGGTGGAGAGTGTTTTCAGCTGACAAAGGCCAGGATAAGTCACAGGATTGGGGGCTTTTCTGCATTTCCTCAGGGACAATAGATTCCCCAGGTAAAGGAAATAAACTTTACATGTGCTGGTTTCTTTCCAGAGAGCCTGGTGCAGTTTAGCAGGGTAGTTGTTGCTGTGTGATTCTGAGGATACCACCGAACTTCTCTGAGCCTCATGTGAGAATGCGAAGACCCATATTATGGGGTTGCTGTGGGGCTCAGGCCCAAGACATGGGGAACAAAACTCAGTGTCTTCCAGGGCCTGGAGCCCGGGGGTCATCTGCCCACCACGAACACTGAACATTTCAGCCTGCCCACTGTCCGTGCATAGGGCCCTCAGGCGTCCTGGGATTCCCCTCCCCTGCTGTCATGCCCTGGTCCCTCAGGCCTTCTGAAAAATAAATCCTCTATGACGGCGTCTGCTTGGCTTCTTGGCAATTGCTGGCCCTGGAAGGTGGTGCAGGGGGCACGATTGCCCCCTGTCTCCCACTGGGGAAGTGCTTAATATTACTGACATGTGAGTTGACCTGCCCAAGGTCACCCTGTGAGTGGGGGCGGGGGAGCCAGGACTAGACATGAGGACCTTGGGAGTAGTGGTGCAGGTGCCCAGAGAAAACTCCAGACATTGGTCCACCAGGCCTGCCCACGTTCACCCCCCCATCCTCCTCCCCCACGCTCTTGTCAGGAGGATCTGATGAAGCCATTCATTCAGCCCCTAAGTCTAGAGCTTTAAGCGGCATATTCAGTCAGCCAATCAGTGAGTCATTTAGTCACTGATTCAATAACCTAGCCTCAACTTTCCCCGTTCAAGCATCACCGCAGTGGAGGAGGAAAGTGTATTAGTCAGGAAAGGTTGTTTCCTGCAACAAACAGCTCCAAAATCGCTGTGGCTCGATTGAAGCTGGTCTGTGGGCTACCTTCCACGGGGTCATTCAGGGACCCAGGCTCTTTCCTTCTCACAGCCTGCCCTCCTCCAGGACCCGGACTGCTCTCCATCCTCTCCCAGATGGGGAAAGAGAATGTAAAACTTGTGGGAGGACCTTACACTCCAGGCCAGGAAAGAAGGGCGCCTGGCTTCCGTCCACCTGCTATTGGTGGAACTCAGTCACGTGGCCACCCTGGCGGCAAGGAATGCTGGGAAGTGTAGCCAAGCTGTGCGTCTCGGAGCAGGAGGGGGTGGGTCTGGGGAGGGTCTGCGTCGTGTGATTCTGAACCCCTTAGGCCTGCTTTCCTGGAGTTCCTGGAATTTGGCTCATTCTGCCAAAACAACGAAAAGGACTCCACTGTCCTTGGGACATCGTCATTATTTCCTCAGTGTAAACATTCGCCATGGACATCTTGGCACAAGTGGCCTTTTCTCCCCCTCAGATCTGGCTCTTGCTGTAGGATTTCCAGGGCAGTAGCTTCAGACCCCAGAATCACTTGTCTGGGAGGCAGGGAGAAGCATGGGGAAGGCCACAGTCATGGATTCAGATAATGACAGGAGTTTTCACTGACTGGTAGTCTGGAGAAAGTTGCTTGGTCCCCGTGAACCTCAGTTTTTTCCTCTGTGAACAGAGAGCAGCAATAAAAGCAGTTATCACGAGGTTACCAAGAGCACATGAGGGTGTGAGAATCCAGGAGATAAGAAGGTACAGCCTAAGATAAGACTAAGCCAATGAGATAAGACAGCCCAATATAGAAAATGGGCAAAGCCTTGAATATATATTTCTCCAAACAAGGTATTCAAATGTCAATAAACATATGAAAACACTCTCAACATCACTAATCACCAGGAACATGCACATCAAAACCAGATGGCTATATCACTTCACACCCATGAGGATGGCGGTTATAAAAAAGGCAAACAATAGAGCATGCAACCCTGGATTTCGGGGTTTAAGTTCCAGTCCTACGTTAGGTGTAGAAATTACTAAAAAATAAAATCTTGGGGCACCTGGGTGGCTCAATCAGTTAAGCATCTGACTCTTGATTTTTTTAATTTCTTAAAAATGTTTTTATTTATTTCTGAGAGAGAGACAGACAGACAGCATGAGCAAAGCTCAAACCCATAAACCTGATCATGACCTGAGCTGAAGTCAGATGCTTAACCGACTGAGCCACCCAGGTGCCCCTCACTCTTGATTTTGACTCAAGTCATGATCTCGTGGTTCATGGGATCAAGCCCCATGTTGGGCTCTGCACTGACTGTTTGGAGCCTGTTTGGGATTCTCTCTCCCACTCTCACTCTCTCTCTCTGCCCTTCACTCCACCCACGTGCTCTGGCTTTCTCTCTCTCTCTCTCTCAGAATAAACAAATAAATATTAAAACAATTTAAGAAATTAAAAATATATTAAAAAAACAAAATAAAATCTTAGAAAAAAGACAAAATAAAATACAGTCTTAGAGAAAAAGATCATTTGAGGATGGAGAGAAATTGCAGCCTCGTGCATTAGTGGTGGGACTGTAAAGCAGGGTGGTCGTTGGGGAAAACAGTATGGTGGTTCCTCAAAAAATTAAACATAGAGGGGTGCCTGGGTGGCTTAGTCGGTTAAGCGTCCGACTTTCGCTTAGGTCATGATCTCGCGGTTTGTGGGTTCGAGCCCCGCGTCTGGCTCTGTGCTGACTGCCAGCTCGGAGCCTGGAGCCTATTTCAGAGTCTGTATCTCCCTCTCTCTCTGACCCTCCCCTGCTCATGCTGTCTCTCTCTCTCTCTCTCTCCTAGAAATAAATTTTAAAAAAATATTAAAAAATTAAACATAGAATAACCATATCTTCCAGGAATCTCACTTCCGGGGAATCGAAAGCAGGGACTGGAACAGATTATTTGTACACCTATGTTCATGGCAGTGTCCTCCATAGTAGCCAGAAGGTGGGAACAACCCCAGTGTCTGGCAGGTGATGGAGAGCGAAACGCGGTGGACACACACAATGGAATAGGACTCAGCCTTAAAAAGGAAGGAAATTCTGAGTCCCGCTGCAACAGGGATGAGCTTTTGAAGACATCATGCTAAGTGGAATAAGCCAGTCGCAAAAGGACGAGCACTGCATGACATCTAGGGGGGTCAAAGTCATGGAGACTGAGTAGACTGGTGGCTATGGGGGTTGGGGGAGGTATAAGTGGGAATTATTGTTCAATGGCCCCTGCGGTTCGGTTTTGCAAGATAAGAAAGTTCGAAAGATGGATGGTGGTCATGGTTACACAGAGATTGAATGTCACTGAGCTGAACACTTAGAAATGGTTAGAAAGGTAAATTTCCTGATATGTGTATCTTGCCACCGGATAAAAGAGGGTACGGCTAGGGCTGTGCACAGACAGAGGAAGGGCCAAGCGCATGTGAGCAGCTCTTCCTATGGACGAAAAGAGGTGAGCAGAGGTGGGTGAGGTGGGGAAGAACTAGGCAGGACTGTTCCCCAGGGGCCCTGGAGATGGCCATCCCACTGGCTACCCTGTCCCTCCTACCATCCTGGGGGCCCATGGGAGTGTCCCTGGCGCCCTGCTCCTCTGTTTCTGTTCTGCTCGGGGGGGGTGGGCTGGGGAGCCCCTCCCCTCCCACAAGAACACGCAGGCTGCCTGCTCCCTGGGGCACCCAGGCGGGCTCCTAGATGGGCTGAGGAAGGTGTGGGGAGGATGCTCCCTCTCCTCCTCCCCACTGACCCCCAAGTCAACGCTTTCTCCTGCCACGCAGCGCTGTTCTAATTGTTGCTCTAGTTATTCCTCAGCTCAGAACCTTCCAGGTCCCCTCCACCCCTGAACAGAACTCTCACTCCTCACACCAGCTTTAAGGTGCCCGCCAGCAGCCTCCCCACCCGCTTCTTCCTCAGAGCCAATGGCATCGGGCCACTCCCCCTCCCCTTCTTCCCTCTGCCAGGAGTGGTATGTCAAAATCCTGCCCATTTGCCCAGTGCAGGTTACTTACAAGTCACAAAGCGGGTAAGGGGCGCCTGGGTGGCTCAGTCCGCTGAGCATCTGACTCTTAATTTTGGCTCAGGTCATGATCCCAGAGTTGTGAGATCGAGACCTGCATTGAGCCTTGCATAGGGCTCTGTGCTGAGCATGGAGCCTGCTTGCGATTCTCTCTCTCTCTCTCTCTCTCTCTCTCTTCCCCTCTGCCCCTCTCCCTAGCTCTCTCTCTCTCCCTCTCTCTCTCTCCCTCCCCCCCCAGCTCTCTCTCTCTCTCAAATAAAAAACAAAACAAAAACAAATCACAAAGGGGATAACCCTTCTCCAGCAGAGAGACCGAGGGTAAGTGCTCATCAATCAATCCACCAAGAGCAGCAGAGGAACCTGTGTCCAGGATGGATGCAACAGGTGTGACAGGAAGGAACAGCATTATTCATAACAGAGTCTTGCCAAAAACATGTAGTTGGGATCTAATTGAGCCTGTAGATCTAACTCTAATTTATAGGAAGTGAATAGTTTAGGAGAATGAATTAGGTGAGATCATAAGGAAACCATTAGATAAACGATGAGATCAGTGTGTAAGACAATAGTCTTGAAACTCTTCAGTAAGTGGGTGTGCAGGGGGTCTTTTGTAGACTGAAAAGAAATCCCAGACGCAAGGCATAAACCTAGATCAGATTCTAGTTCAAAAAATAAAAGTAACAGAGAGGGAGGGGAGGGAGGGAAGAAGGAAAGAAAGAAGGGGGGGTAAAGAAGGAAAGAGGAAGGAAGGTGAAGCTTTAAGATACATTTTGGGGACAATGGAGAAGTTTGAATATGAACCAAATATTACATGACATACAGGAATTATTGTTAATTTTGTTAGGTGGGGTAATAGTGTATTTATGTAAGACAGTGTCTTTATCCCGTGGAGATGGGTGCTGAAGGATTTAGGGGCAACATTTCAGACATCCATAATTTTCTCTGAAATGGCTTGGCAGAAAAAACAAAAGACAAAGCAAGTATTGGAAAACGCTAATCATTGAATAGGTGCCGAAGATATGAAAGGTCTTTCTTCCATTCCTTCTTTAGTGTTTACAATTTTTCAAAACTACACTGTAAAAGAAACCAAGCAAGATTCTGCCCATCTTCTGACTGAAACACGATCTCTCACTCCCGCTCGCTCCTGCTTTCCTTGATTCCTGGACAAGAATAAAGCCTTCTCTCCCTGGCCTGGAACAGCCTTAGAGTCTGTGGCAGGACTTCTCTTTCCTACCGAGCCAGGGCTCCTTGGAGCAAGGACTCAGTATATTTGCCTTTGGGTCCCCCGTGCCACCACAGGGCCAGGCACACACCACGGCTTAACAGCAAACACTCACGGCTCTTGCGTGCCTGGCCCTGTGAAAGTTGTTATTTCATCAACTCCCTCCGTGAGTGATTGGGTGAAGTGGCTCTTAGCATCCCATTCTGCAGATGGGGAAGGAAGGCTCAGAGAGGTTATGTAACATGCTTGGCCCCAGGTCTTGGCTGACTTGAAAGCCTAGTTACTGTGTCCAAACTGAATTATCTAAACTGAGTCCTTAACACCTTGATAAGGTAGGTGGGGTTGACTCTCCCAATATTGTGGGGGGAGGAGTGGGGCCGGAAGAGGGTAGGGATGTCCCCAGGGGCTGAAGACGGAAAAGCTGAGCATACTTTGTGTTTGCACACTTTATGGGTGTAAACTCACTTAATCCTCAGCCTTCCTCACAGTGGGGATAGAGGGAGGTGGTGTAGCCTGGTGGTCATGACCTCAGACCCCAGGGCCAGCTGCCTGGGGCAAATCCAGTCTCCCTCACTTCTTGGCTGGTGAACTCTTGCATTCCTCAGTTTCCCCACCCATAAAATGGACCGCGCTAGTGTTCTGCTTACATGCTGGGTCACGGCGACCCGAGTTAATCATACAAAGCGCTTGAAACAGTGCCGGTCTCAGAGTTAAGTGTGAACTCACAGAGGTAGGGAAGCTGTCTGAGATCACACAGGAGTAGTACCACACCCAGGGCCATCTGATTCCAAAGTTTCTGCTTTCTAAATACTTCTATGGAGCAAAGTCTGGGGCCAGGGGAACAAGGGTCTTGACCTTTCAAATACCTGGCCCAACCTGGTTCTTGTCCTTTGTGAAGTGGAGGGCTTCCTTGGACTTGTCCCTTGCCTCTCCCCGCCCTCTCCCTCCCTGGTCCCTTCTCCTCCCGCTTCTCCCCCTCCCCCACCCAGCCCTGCCTCCCTCTCTTCTCTCTCCCCTCCCCCCTGCCCCCTTCCTCATCTGCTCTTACCTACATGGACGGGGTAGAAAGAACCTTCAGTTGTTACCACTGCTCGTCCCTCTCTGCGTCTCAGTTTTCCGAGCCTTAAGATGAGGGGCTGGACAACGGAAGTGTGAAGGTCACTGGCTTTATATCTGCTCGGACCGGGACGGGCTCTCCAAGCCTGGCGCCCTGGGCCCGAGCCAGGGGCTCCTCTCCCCATCAGGAAGGGGTGTTCAGCCTCCTACTTCCCAGCAGCCCTGCTGTGCCTGGGGGAGGGAGGGGGCCTCTGGCTGTAGGACCCAGCCCAGCCTAGACCAGCTGACTGCGTAGCCTGGGGCAGTGGCTCCCAGATACCACTGGTTTCCGGCTGGCTGGTAGCCAAAGGCACCCAGATGAGAGTGGGGTTCATTGTTAACTCCTGGCATCAGGCTGGGCTAGGTGACCGTTGGACTCTTCTAGAGTGTCAGGAATTGGCATCGCCTTCAGGGAGGGCTGCCATCGAAGAGGGCTGTGCTGCACCGACACACCTCCATGCATTTCCACCGGCGTGGCGGGAGCTGGCTGGCCTGCGGTCACCACCTGCGACGGAGGGAGAACCTGGAAGGTCAGAGCTCCAAAGCCCCCTTCTCCAGTGGGCGAGCCCAACTCCTCCTGTGCAGAGGGAGAAACGAGGCCCCCCAAGAGGGGGAGGCCTTCTTCAAGGCACCTACCAAGGTGCGGTCAAGGACAAGCCAAGAGGCCCAGAGTTACCCAGGGTGAGATGGGCAGCCATGTTCCTCCCAGAATCCCGAGCTGGGATGGCAGTGGCTGTAAAGGTGGAAAGGGGAGGTCGAGGAGCCGGAGGCCGGGAGGCCGGGGCTCTTTCCCATGTCCTCAACTACATGCACCCCGGTGCATGTCTAGTCTGTTCTCCACCCTAGTGCTCTGAATGACCTGAGGTGATCCCACCCCCTCTCTGGGCCTCAGTTTCACCATCTGTCCCTATGAAGTTGGGCCGGATCATTCTTTCAGCAAACACGTACTGTACTGAGCCCCTGTTGTTTTCCAGGTTCCACGCGGGGCTCGGGGATACATTGATGAATGAGTTCCCCCAGGAACTGGGGCTTCGAGGGGAAAAGGTTGGGGGGGGTCTTTCATGAGGTGGGAGAGATCTGTCTCTCAGATCAAAGGAGAGCTTGTCAGATCCAAACTGTAGGGTCCTGAGGCCCTCCTGGCTTGCTGGCAGCCAGCACTCTGGTCTTTTATTGTTTTGTTGGTTGCTTACTTAGGGCTGGGGTCCCAGGCCAGGATCTAGGGTGAGTGGATGTCGCTAGCCCCGGAGGGGGTGGGGAGGATGGGGTGGAGAGAGCCTTTGATGCTCTCAAGGCTGGTCTGGCTTCCCAGGCAGGTCTGAAGTGAGGAACCCTCGTGAGCAGCCAGCCCAGTACCCTCTCCCTTCCCTCCCCCCCCACCCCCCTGCTGCAGGCCAGAGCTGAGCCAATTCCGTTCCTTGGCAACGTCCTGAGGAATCCAGCGCCTGCTGCCTGCTGCACACAGGCTCCCTTCCTCTCTCCTCCCATCCTGCCTGCGGGGGCTGGAGGCGGAGGCAGAGGCAGCAAGCAAGCCCCATTATAAAAAGCCATCACAGAAAGCGACAGAGCTCAGGCGGCGAGGGAACGGCACTGAGCTCAGACCCCGGCCCTGCCCGGACCCCTGCCTGGACCCCCGCCCGGACCTCCGCCAGCCCTCAGCCATGGCTCCGCCACCTCTCTCGTGGCTGCTCCGCTTGGCCGCCCTCTGCCATCTGACCACGCTGCTAGCTGGTGAGTGTGGGGGGGACTCCATCCAGCCCCATTTGTGCCCTTCAGACCTGACATGGGGGTGGGGGGCCAGCCCCGACCTGGGTAAGGTCCATAGCGGCTCCTTCCAAAAGGTGTGATGGAGGAGGCTGGGTTCCTCCCTGACCCCAGATTCAGGGCTGCCCCTCTCCCTAGAAAGGCTTCCAGGCTCAGAGACTGCACTGCCTGCCTGGCCCAGTGAGCAAGGTAGCTAATGCTTGGCAGTGCAAAGAGGTGGTGTGGATAGCAAAAGGGTGCCGGGCACAAAGGGGCCCTGAGGAGGTCCCTGCTGGGCATCTGGGTGGGCAGCTCTGGCTGACAGTGGGCCGGGTCTTCCCGTCAGGGGTCAATGGGTCACTGGCAGCTCTGACTCCTGAGTCTCAGCCCTGGCCCTGGCCCAGGCCATGGTTAGGGTTCTCTCCTGCCCTGATTTTGAGTAGGGGGCCCAGGATCAGTGGAGTTCAGTCAAGGTCATTGCAGATCATGGATTGCGCTTGTTGCTGTTGCTCTGGTCTGTAGTCCCGATCCCTCTGCCCGTATCTCAACCATGATGCGATCCTCCTCCTCCAAGCGTAGCTTAGAAAATGCCTTCACCTCCAAATACTTGCTTTCTGGAACCTAGGACATGGTAGGGCATGATGTATACATCCCACTGACATGATTCAAGTGAAGGTCCAGAGAGGTTTAGAAACTGGCCCGAGGATGCACAGTCAGCAAGTAGGGCAGGAGACAGTGTGGCTACAAGCTTACCACCTCTGTGGGCCACATGGCCTCCGAGAACTGTCTGAGCCAGACCACCTGGCAGGTTGAGGCTCAGAGAGGCTAGGAGCCTGCCTTGGGACACACAGCAAGTCTGGGAGAATGAAAACAGTCTCGAGCTTCCCAGACACCTCCAAGGAGCAAACTGCTTTTCGAGTCCTCCTGTGTGGGGAAAACCAGCAGCAGACCAGGGAGCAGGTGGGAGGGATGTATCAGAGGCCGAGTGCTACTGGCTGCCTGCTTCCTGGGCTTGAACCCTAAAGCCCAAGGTGTTTGGAGGCAGTGAGCACTAGAAGACAGGGAGTCAAATGGAAGTTGCTTTGCCATAGCCGTGACCCCGAGTGGGGTCTTGCCTTCCTTTGTCCCACCTACTACACCTTTGAATATACCTATTGCCTCCTGTGCGGTGAGGCTCCAAAGCCTAGGAATGCATTTTGGAAGCGGGAGGAGGATATACTTATACTAAGCCGGGCCGTGGGCGTAGGAGTGAAGGGTTCTTATGGTAAGATGAAGAGGGGATCCCAGGTCAGGTTTGGGATGGGGGAACCCTGGATACTCTGTTTATTTCTGCCCTAATCTTGGTCACTGACTTTGCTGGAAGATACATTGTTTCAACCTTTCTGAGCCTCAATTTCACCTCCTCCTCCTGGCATCCGGCTAGACTCACCTTGGAGGTCTTCACCCACACTGAGGTTTATGGCTCTGAGAGACCCCCTGGGAGTCCCCTCAAGACTGCGGGGTGTGCGGCTTGGTCCAGAAGCCAGAGACACCCCGAGGCGGGGGGCTGGGTGCTTTGTGGCTGCAGCTCTGGCTGGTGCAGGGCAGATGCGTCAGTCCCCAAATGTGGGTTTGCGGGGCTGTGGCAGCGGGGAGGCTCCTCTGCTTTATATAACAAACCTGCAGATACAAGTCAGAGCAGAGAATTTTCTCCCCGAGCACTGACGCATTCACTCCTACTCAAGCCCTGACAAGAAAGAGGGAAGAAAAAAACCTGTTTTAAACTGCCGTAATCTGCCCCCTGATTAGCTGTGGAGGTGGATGGGGAAGGCAGGGGAGAATAAATTCAGAGCGTGAGATCCAGGCCCCTGTTGAATTTAAATAAAAATGCTTCCATTTCTTTGTGGGTTAAAATATCATGTGTCACAAAGTACCTTCTTGTGAGTTTTGTTCATTCATTGAACAGGAATTTGATGGGCACCAACTGGGTGCCAGGCACTGTTGTTAAGTGCCAGGGCCACATCGGTGAATAAAACTCCCAAAGATCCCAGTCCCCTGAACGCGCACCGGAGAAGACAGATGACACAGCAAATAAATCAGTCAACGATCTGGTCTGTTAGAAAGAAAAACATGCTGTGATTTATTTATATTAAAAAAATTTTAAATATTTATTGCGAGAGAGAGCGAGTGGGGGAGGGGCAGAGAGAGAGGGAGAGAGAGAGTGCCTTTGCACTGCCAGCACAGAGCCCTACTTGGGGCTCAAACTCAAGAGCCCTAAGATCATGACCTGAGCCAAAATCGAGTCGGACGCTTAACCGACGGAGCCACCCAGGCACCCCAAGATGCTGTGATTTAAAAGAATATAGAGGGGGGCTTGCGAGGGAGGGAGGTGTTGAAATTTTAAGTAGGCGTCAGGAGAGGCCCCCAGAGAAGAAGCCATTGAGGGAGACAAGGGAAGATCTCTGTGGGCATCCCTGTAAAGCAGTGGTACTCAACGGGTGATTTGGCCCCCCCAGGGGGCATTTGGGAATTTCTGAAGACATTTTTGTTATTACAAACCTCCCGACATTTCTGGTTGGGGATGCTCAGAATTCTCCCCAGGGATGATGCTAACAATCCTACAGCGCACCAAACAGTTCCCGCAACAAAGAATTATCTGGTCCCAAATGCCAATGGTGTTGCTGTTGAGTAAACCCTACTCTAAGGGTCCAGATATTTAAAAATCTTTATTCTCACATCCACCCTGTGAAGCAGATAGTATCACGTCCCTTTTACAGGTAAGGGAACTGAGGCTCAGACAGCCTAGGGGACTTGTCCAGGACACTCACCTGAGCAATGGCTCAAGCCCTGCCTCTGTCACCTCACCCACAGACCCACAACATTCTTGTCTTCTCCTGCCTGTAAGCCTCTTAGCAGTCCCTGAGGTCCAGCCAATAGGGCACCTCCTCCAAGAAGCCTCCCTTGATTACTTGTAGTGGGAAGTAGTCTCTCCTTCATGCAAATCTCAGCACATTTGGGGTATATTCTGGAACATGGTGTTTCCACCTGATATTTAAGGCTGTTTAGAACAGCAGGATGTCCGGAGGCTGGGAGGAAAACAAAATCTGCCACTAAGCAGCCGTGTGGCCTTGGGCAAGTCATTTAACCTCTCTGGTTATCAGCTTCTGCGGGGAAGAACTCCCTTTGCAGGGATGCTGGGAACTAATCAGGGCAGATGAGCCCGTGCTAAGCACAGGGTCCAGACACAGAAGTTATGATTCCTTGTGGGGGTGCCTTGGCTGCCCTTCAGGCTGCGATGTTCTGAGGGCAGAGATGGGCCTCCAACTCACTGTGCCTCACAGCACCCAGCACAGGGCCTGGCAAGAGGGAAAATTGGCATTTGACTGAGAAAACGCTGCGAGCTAATAGTGTTTATTGGGATTGAGATACTCTCTCTAAGCTCAGCACCGGCACCGATGGGAGAAAGGGCTCAGGGTTAAGAACAAGAGGGCCTGGGCCTTTGTAGATACTCAAAAGTAATTCGCTTAAGTGTTGGCTGAATCAGGAAATGGAGGGATAAGATAGATGGGCAGGCAGATGGGGAGGTAGGCAGAAGGATACGTAGATTAAGACTTTATTTCATTCAATGAATATTTACTGAATATCCACTTTGTGCCAGGAAGCACTGTGACACCAAGACCAAGAAGGTCCCTGCCTTCTTGAAGCTCATATGACAGTAAATGGCTGGCTGGTTGGAAGCATCATCCCCAATGACAGAAAAGAAAATTTCAGTTCCTAGAAGAAAAGCCCCCTTAGGTTAGTTATACAACCCTTCCCCAGGCAAAACCAAGAACAGAACCTGGCCAATGGCATTTAGGCATTGTGGCAGGGGAGTGGAGACTTTGGGGACAGGCTGACTTTGTGGCTCTTTAAAGCCTCAGAGGTGAGCAGTGGCCTGGGACCTAGAGTCAAGGGAGCAGATTCACACAGCATATCCCTCCTGCCTGCAGGCAGCCTCCCCCTGGCTCCAGGTCACCAAGGAGCACTGTTTTGGGGGGCTCTGAGAGGGCACCTATGAGACCAATCCAGGGAATGGCCTTCCTGGCTCTATTCAACAGGGCCTGGGGAGGATGCAGCTGAATCATTTCAAAGGTGATAGCAGCAAAGTAACTTTCACATCCTGGTCCCTCAGAGAGAAAGGACAGCCTGTGGCTTAGGGACCGGCCGCCGGAGTGCTCCCTGCCCACCTCGGGAGCTGCTAGTGCGGCCCCTTGATGGCCCAGGCTCACGCAGCCCTGCAGACCCTGACCTGCCCTTCTACAGTGGGGGTAGGCTGAGACCACGGGGCAGTGATGGGAGAGGAGGCGGCACATTCTAGAAGGGGTGCATGTGCGTGTGTGCGCGTGCACCTGTATCAGGGAGCCTGTTTGCACATCTATGTCTGTGTCAATACTTGTGCATGAGTAAGGATCAGCTGGGCCCTTCCTGGTTCTGCTGGGCTGGAGACCATTCACTTCTCTGGACTCCATTGCCCTGGAAGTCCTGGCCGCTAGAATTTGGCAAAAACCTTCTGGGGTCTTGCTTCTGCTGCATATGACCTTGACTCAGCTCCAAAACTCAGTCCCTTCCTTATTTTTCACATACCCTTCTTGAGAAGACACCAAGCAGAATAAATTTTGCAGAGATTTCAGGGCAAGGAGGAAGGAGGAAAGGATAAGCAATGCAAACAGCTTTGCAAATGTTTACATAAAATGTTTGGTCCCTCAGCTGCCTGTCAAGTCACCCTCACCCTGTCCTGGGGTTTCTCTCTGGCTCATGCCATCAGCAGGCCATTAGCCATCCACTGTGCTCACACTCCATGCACAGCCCCCATTTCCTACCCCTCCTCCTTACTCCTGCTCCCCTGTCTCACCCAGGGGGCTCCAAATGGTCCCCTCGATTCCCCTTAGCAACTGCCCCACACTCCCCTTAATGGCATAACGAAGGATTCCCTACTCAGCAGACCCAACTCCTCGCTTCCTGAGAAGGCAGTTGCACTTACACATTTAAAATTCATTATGTTACATGTGCTCCATCATATGTACACCTTTATGTGTTTTTGTGGGGGGGGGTAATGTCTGTGCCATTCTGTTGGTTGGTGTGTGTGTATGTGTCATGGGGTGGGCCCGTGAGATGTGGTGGACAGAGGTCTGGGTGTGTCTCAAAGGGCATGGAAATACACAAATACGGATCGGCTGGAGAGGGAGGAGTGGGGTGTATATGTGGGGGGGCAGAGAGTTGGGTGAGATTGTTGAGCTGGTGACTTACTGGGGGAAAAGGGGGGGATGTAGACCCATGGGCCAAGAAGGGATCAGAGCCTGGCCTCCCAGGAGACCCTGTCCCATCACTTGCTGGCTGTGTGACTTCAGGCAGGTCCCTGTCACTCTCTGATTTATCTCCCCTTCTGTACACTGACCAACTACAGCGACTTAATTTTATTTAAAAAATTTTTTGTAGCTTTTAAAAAAGTTTTTATTTATTTATTTTGAGAGAGAGAGGGCATGCAGGGGAGGGGCAGAGAGAGAGAATTCCAAGCAAGCTCCGCACGGTCGGTGCAGAGCTAGATGCGGGGCTTGAACTCGCAAACCGCGAGATCATGACCTGAGCCAAAACCAAGAGTTGGATGCTTAACCGACTGAGCCACCCAGTCACCCAAGCAACTTGATTTTGAAAATAAACCCTTACGACGTGCCAGGCAGTAAGAGCTTCTTCATTAATTTCCATAACATCCCAATGAGGTAGAAACTATCACTGTGCCTATTATACAGGTAGGGAAACTGAGGCATAGAGAGGTTTGACAAGGGCCAGGGGGCCAGGGTCAAGGGCCTTGAAGAGCAGGGTGTGCAGGGCATCGGCTGTGTCTCGGATGGTGTGGCTGGCACAAGCTGGCCTGGGAGTGGGAAGCCAGATGCCCTTGGACAGTCCTGCTGACTGGGGGCCTCTGTGGGCTCAGGACAGCACCTCGGTGTGAAGAAATGCAACGTCACCTGCAGCAAGATGACCTCGGAGATCCCTGTGACTTTACTAGTCCACTACCAACGAAATCAAGAATCCTGCGGCAAACGTGCCATCATGTAGGTACTGGGCTCCTGGCCTCTACTAATCCCTGTCCACATCCTTCCTCCTCAACCTGGGCTCCTGCCAAGGGCCTCAGCGAATGCTCTTCCTGGCCCCCTGGCTCCTCGATGACCTCGATATCTGTGTCCCAAGATATAAGCTGGGAGCAGCTTCCTGAAAGGCCTTTGGCCTGGGACAGCTACGAGGGGGTGGTGCTTGAGGCAGCCCTTGAACCTGCTGGGGAGGTAAAGCACTGTGGTCTCGAAGCACAGGCTCTAACGGATGTGGTGCCAATCCTGGCTTCACCACTTACAGGTTGTGCGGCCCTGCTCACACTCCCTACCCTCTGGGCTTTAGCTTCCTTATCTATAAAATGGGTAGTTTGGAGGACGAAAAGCAGCTGTAAATAAGCAGCTTGGCAGGGTGCCCAAAAGCCGCTGCAGTGGGAAAGGCAGAGATTATAATCTGCACTTGACAGCTGAGGAAACAGGATGCCAGTGAGATCTGGAGCAGGGGCCAACCTGAGCTAACTGCCCCCCCCCCCACCCTGACCCATCCCAACTGTCGGGACCCTTGACTATCTGGGCTTCTTGCTCTCCTGGGGTCCCTCTTGGGTCCAGCCCAGCCCCAAGGCCTTTCCACAGACTGACCTTCAGGACTGCCGTCAGGAAATGGCTAGCGGGCTCTCTAAGTCTAGGCTCAGCTAAGGGAAGTCAGTCATGTTCTTCACTCCACTGACAGCACGGTTACCAAGAGGGGCTGCTGCTTGGCCTCTCTGCTCGCCGGCTCAGGCTTGCTTCCCCCAGGCTCCCCCACATATTTGCTTCTGTTTTCTAGGTAAAGAGGAAGTGGGAAGCCCCAGGGAGGGGACTGTGGCCCCGGGCAGCACCTCACTTGTGGGGGCCTGCAAGCTCATGCTTGCTTCCTGCACTCCTCTGGCTTCCCAGTGACCTGGAGCTACGCACATTCACGTTACTTCTCTGAGCCTCGGTTTTCTCATCTGTCAAATGGGGATGAGCGTGGTAGCCGCCTCTCAGGATGGGTGTAAGGTTGAAACAGGCGAAATACCTCTTAGCACAGTGGCATGGAGCGTGAGTCCCAGTCAGCTCTGAGCCGTGTGCTCGGCAGTGAGCCAGCTAGAGGAAGCTCAAGGTTTGGACGGTGCTTGGGGTCGCAGCGGGACCACCATATATGTGGCTGTAGGTCACTAAGTGTGCTTCAGGCTGAGAATGCACGCTAAGACTCGAGGTAGAGGTCCAGAGGGAGAGGAGGAAGAGGACGTTTAAATCAGCTCCTTCCAGAGAGAGGAGCCCCCCCCCAGAGCTCACCAGCCACATACCTGACAGCAGGCAACACCTGTTGGTGGCTCCCCCAGTCAGAAGACTCACAGCACAGAGCCCCCCTGCCTTAACAGTAATGATATTATCATTCACATTGGTCCCCTGAGTCTCCCACTCTGAGCCAGGTGCTTTTATCATTTTCATTTTTTTTTTTTTTTTTTACAATAACACAGAAGTAGGGTGACTGACTTGTCCCAGTTTTCTGAGGACCCCCTCTGTCCCGGGGAGGTTGGTCACCCTGCAGAAGGTAGGTATGCTATCTCTATTTCTCAGGCGAGGACACGGAAGTTCCAGAAGTCAAGCTGCCCAGTCTAGTCAGCTCACAGCTTGCAGCTGATAAGCGCTGGGGGCAGGATTTCTGGCCGGGTCTGTTCACCCACAGCGCGTTTGCACAGTGCCCCTACCCCACATGGCATCTGGGCATCACTGGGTCCCTGTCTTCCTTCCTTGTAGCTTGAGGACCAAACAGAACAAAATCTTCTGTGCTGATCCAAAGGAGAAATGGGTCCAGGAAGCCATGGAACACCTAGATCGCAAGAATGCCGTCCCGCTTCGAAATGGTGGCACGTTCGAGAAGCAAATTGGCGTGGGTGAGCCCAGGACCACCCTGGCCGCCAGGGGAATGGACAAGTCTGCGGTCACAGAGCCCAAAGCCACCGGGGAAAGCAGTGGCCAGGAGGCACAGAGGGCCTTGGAGACTTCCCCAGGGCTGCCGACGGGCGTGGCTGATTCCTGGGGGACCAGGTTCCCCTCCGCCTCAAAGGCTCCAGATGGAGGGCCTCCAGCTGGGTCCCAGAGAACTGAACCATCCAACGCCGCTGCCCTCACCACCGAAGGGTCCTGGCAGAGTTCTGCGTACAAACCCGGGTCGGGCCTCTGGGCTGAGGGAAAGGCCTCTGAGGCGCTCCCCACCCAGGCCTCCCCCACCCAGACCCCCTCCACCCAGGCCCCCCCCACCCAGACCCCCTCCACCCAGGCCCCCTCCACCCAGGCCCCCCCCACCCAGGCCCCCTCTACCCAGGCCCCCTCCACCCAGACCCTCCTTACCCAGGCCCCCTCCACCCAGGCCCTCCCTACCCAGGCCCCCTCCACCCAGGCCCTCCCTACCCAGGTCCCCACCATTTTACACACAGCCTCAGAGGACCAGTCTGTGTGGAACAAGGGACAGAACCCCACGACAGGGGGCTCTCTAGGGCCCACGGAGATGGGTCCCCTTTCGGCTCACACGGATGCTTTCAGGGGGTCTGACAGCATGCCCCCTCTCTCCATGGTCCCTGACTCCTCTGACAGTGTTTCCAGCAGGGAGCCAGTGGCCTCAGGTAGCTGGAGCCCCAAGGCGGAGGAGGCCTCTGTGGGCCGGCTGGAGGCCCTCACCACTCCTGTCCCCGACCCCCAGGCAGCCACCCGGAGGCAGGCGGTAGGGCTGTTGGCCTTCCTTGGCCTCCTCTTCTGCCTGGGGGTGGCCATGTTTGCCTATCAAAGCCTCCAGGGCTGTCCCCGCAAGATGGCAGGGGACATGGTGGACGGGCTCCGCTACGTCCCCCGCAGCTGCGGCAGTAACTCCTACGTCCTGGTGCCCGTGTGAGCGGCCCATCTGCCTGCATCCAGTTGTTCAACTCAGACAGCTGCCTGGGGTCCCCCATCCTCACATCCACCCTCACCCAAGGGCCTGGCCTGAGCTGGGATGATCAGAGCAAGGAGGCAGGGTCTTTCGCAAGGACCTGCTCCCAGCTCCCGGGCATACCCTGGGGGGCCACTCTTGACCTTTGCCGACCTGCCCGGGAGAGGAGTGGTAGCCTCTGCAACTCACCCCGGTGTCCCCAAGTCAGGAACCTTCTGCTGCTGGCTGGTGAGAGGTCCCTTTGACACAGCCCCTGACCCACCGAACAGTTATTTATTGAACAAATGCTTAGCCCCTCTGGTTCCCATGGTGCCACTGTCATCCCATCTCACAAATGAGCCTCAGGCCAGGCCCCTTCTCTCCTGCCCACCCCCTCAGACCCCATCGTGTCTCTCCATCCCGCTGCAGTCGCCAGCACCCCGGCCACCTGCGGTGCTATCTCCCCTGTCCCCTGTACAGAGCCCACACCCAGCCGGGGACCCGACTTCTCTTGCATGAGGCTAGTGTGGCATTTCCTGGGACTGCTCCCAGGAAGGCTCTGCCCTCGGTTAGGCATTGTGGGAAGGGGAGACCAAGTGATCTGGTGGCGTTGGTTTGTTTGTCTTCTCCTCAGTCGATGCTGTGCAGTGGAGGGACATTGACCTTGAGCGTGAAAGCTGGGGTTCTCGTCCCGGGCCCACCACCACCCCAGCAAGGCATTCGTACCTCTGGTTTTCCATCTGTGGAAGGAAAGAGTCATGGCAAATGTGTGACAGTAGCCTGCACCCTGACGGGCGTCACTCACTGATCCAGAGACACCCCACCACCCCTCGACTTCGTCTCAGACCCTGGGTGTAGCCTCACAACAGAACACCTCAGCCGGTCTTCTCCCCGCGGGGAGCCCGGCACGCCGGTGGGCTCTGCGACTTGGAGCGGGTGCAAAAGGGAGATCTGATAGCTCAGGTCCTGCTTGGCTGGAGGGATTCAGCTCTGTGGGCCCCCTGAGTGGGGACTTGGCTGGAATATGTGATGGGCAGGCCCCTGCCTGGCTTTGAGAACAGCCCTCGTGGGAACACCCAGATGGCACAAGTGATGTGTGACAGGCTGAGGAGGTGCCTCAGCCTGCGGGCTCCCCGGGAGGCTGAGGCGCTCAGGAAAAGGAAGGGGGGAGGCTGCAGGGGGACAGCCCCTGGCCTGTGTGAGGGACTCGGGCCCCTGCGTTTGCTGTTTCTGCGGCCTGGCGGCCCCTTCCTCCTCTCTCCCTCCCCGACAGCACTGCTGTGCTCCACTCCAAGGTCTTCCCTCCCCCTGCAGCCCACCACAGGCCGGGCCAGGGACTCCGGGACATTTTCCATGAGATCAGAGCCCGCCGCCGCTGAAACCTGAGGTTCCGTGTTTACCTCCGAAAGAGACTCCGTCCTGTGGGGAGGGAAGTTGTGGGTGCAAAATCGGGGGTTCCCTTTTTGGGTGCTGAGGACTCAGGTGGGCCTCACCCCTCAGGGTCCCCGGGGGCAGCTCCCCACCTCCCTCTGATTGTCCCCGAGGGTGACCCTTGCCCCCAACCTGGGGAGCCTCCTATGGGCCAGGCTTCCCCCAGGTGTGGGTGACATTCTAGGGGGCGGACAGATGCTCATCGAAGCAGACACAGCTCTGGTCCCCAGAGAGGGGCCCTCCTGCACTCCCTGCTGTGCATGACCTGGGATGTTGGGGCCTGGCTCTAGTCGGGGGCACTCTGATGGCTCTGAAGGCAGGCAGCAGGTCTAAATGCACTTTTTTGGGCTCCTCCAGGCGTGGAGAGCCTTCAAGGGGTGGGACACCCGTGACAGGGCTCGCCTGCTTTTGTGAAAAGGCAGCTGGGAGCAGCTAGTCCCCCTTCCACGGACTTGATTAGTCTCCCCGCCTCCCCCCCGACACGTCAAGCAGGACACGGACAAGCATAATTTGGGGAGGACTTTGGAAGGAGTTGGTTGATCCTTTTGCTTTTCCAACCCTATCACCAATGTCTGTGCCATTTTGTATTTTATTAATAAAATTGAAAAGTCTTGTGAATCAAATAAAGTAGCTTGTTCTCGGGCAGGCTCAGCAACGACAGCCTCGGGGGCAACGGCTTAAGGGAGGGGCCGAGAGTCTCTGGGTCCAGCTTCCTGGGGCAGAGGAGAAGTCCTGTCCAGTCAGCAGGAGAAGCAGCAGGGGTAGGGGTGAGGAGGGCTGAGCCCCTGGCCTGGCTTTGCTCTGCCCCGCTGTGTGACTTTGGGCAGTGCCTTCACCTCTCTGGGCCTGTGTAAAATCAAGTGTAAGACTTCTAGTGGCTCCCATCTCTGGCAGGAATCCGATTCCCTTCCGAAACCACTCCTGTGTTTCCCCACACCTACTAAACCTCCATCTCAGAGGCCTTGGTAGCACCATGAGTGATCTGATGACCCATGGGAGCAAAGTGGGTCACATTTTCTTCTTTGCTACCTTGACTCATTGCTGGTCCAGATGAAGATCAAAGAGGGATTACTTCCCAAGGGACTTGGGTGGTCACAGATAGGACCCAAACACAAACCTCCTGGTGGCCCCTAAGCCGTCCAGTGTCCCAGGATGGCATCATAAGAGCTGCCATGTACAGTTGTGCAGATTGGGAACTGCACAAATTTCCGCAGATCAAGTCCAGCCCATTATTACACAATATTTCAGGGACTCTGAGACGCACATTTTTTTTTCTACATTGTGACATCTTTGGAATTGGGATTTATCCTACAATCCATGGCTTGTCATAGTTTAATTGACAGGTCTTTTTTTATTATTATTTATTAGTAGTTTATTAAATAGCACAATGCCCAACAACCAATGACATTTTAGATTAGATATCTACGAAGTGTTTTAAAAAATTAGAGGCAACATTTAAAAATGAGGAAATGATACACACAAACCTTTTCTTCCCTGTTCTTTCAGGTGACTCAGAAGGCCTGGCCCCTCCAGGACGTCAGTGGGTCAGGCCCAAGCAGCAGCTTCCTCCTGAGATGGGGCAGGCCAGGGTGAGATCCCTAGTTCTCTAGCATCCCCTCAGCCCCTTCGTGCCCCTGGAGCCTGTGACCTTGTCGGGTGCCATTTATCATCACTCTTCTCTCATTTTTCTTAGAGCAAGGATATTTTTGTCCAGGCCCAAGTCTGCACCGAAAGTGGGACAAGGAAAGACAGATCGCGATGGGCACGTGACTTTTCTTACACCCCGCTGGCTCCTTCCTTCATTTGACCACCTGCCAAACCCCACAGACGCGTGGGTCTGGGGTTCCTGTGTGGCAATGAGGCTGCTGCCTCTGTGCACGCGGCACATTCTGGTCCGTCCCTTAGCAGCGAGCCACAGCTCTGCCCAAGCCCCCTCAAACCCATGTCCTCCCTCTTTTGCCCATTTCACACCCAAAGAGGAGCTCCGAGGCAAGGTCACAGGCCTCCAACCCCTCGAACCCTATCTTCCGGCAAATCAGAACACCACCAGAGGCTTTGCAATGAAAATATTTGATCCTGATTTGTTTTGTTTTTAATCACATTGTTAGCTAAGCAACAATGTTCTGGCAGAGGATGGAGAGTGGGAGAGACCTGGATTCTGGCTCAGTCCAGAGCAGTTCCCCAGGGATTCTGGAGTGTTCGGTTTTCTTTCACTTAGAGCGCTACACTTTCGCACACGTGGTGCCCAAATTCACCCAGAGTTTGGTGGAGACTCAGAGGCCTGTGAAATCTCTGCTAGGGCTGTCCGGTAGTCAGACAATAATAGCTACTGTTTATTTCATGTTTACCACCTGCCAGCACCTGCTAAGTTATTTGCATACAATGTGCCCATTTCACACTTGAGGAAAGGACGGCTCTCAAAGCACTAGCTATCCGGCCAAGGTTAAGCGGCGGAAATGGGACACGACCTGCAGTCTTTCTCTAGGACTTGAATCTTACTTAGCCTTCATCTCTGAAAGTATGAGCCACGGATTCTTTTTAATTTTTTTAACATTAAAAAAAAGTTTCTTTGGGGCGCCCGGGTGGCTTAGTCGGTTAAGCGTCCAACTTTCGCTCAGGTCATGATCTCGCGGTTCGTGGGTTCCAGCCCCGCGTCGGGCTCTGTGCTGACTGCCAGCTCAGAGCCTGGAGGCTGTTTCAGTCTGTGACCCCCTCTTTCTCTGACCCTCCCCTGCTCACGCGGTCTCTCTCTCTCTCTCCTAGAAATAAATAAAACATTAAAAAAAATTAAGAAAAAGTTTATTTAGCAAGCGTGAGTGGGGGAGGGGCAGAGAGAGAGAAGGAGAGGGAGAATCCCAAACAGGCTCCACTGCTGTCAGCGCAGAGCCCAGCGTGGGGCTCAAACTCATGAACAGTGAGATCATGACCTGAGCTGAAATCAACAGTTGGGCTTTTAACTGGGCCAGCTACCTAGGCCCCCTGAGCCATGGATTCTTAAAAGTACAGACACCGGACCCCCACTTCAGAGCCACTGGATCCAGACTCCAGGGGTACAAGCACCTTTAAGCTGCTGTCCCTACCCCTTCCTCTCCTGCCTGCCCCCCTCTGCCCTGCACTGCCCTCCAAATTAGGGATTTGGCACCTAGCCAAAGTTTTGGAGCCCCCCCCCCTTGCTTGCCCCCACCCCTGCCCAAGGCCAGCCCACTCCATCCCCCACCAAGGCTCGCAGGGTCCCATGGGCAGTAGCCACTCACAGCCTTCTCACTCTCTGCCCTTTGCTATTAGTCCCTTCTCTCCCCTGTGTCCTCTGTACATTCCCCAAATGGGTGAGGCCAGGCAGAAAAACAAAGAAATGAATGGCTGGGAATTTCCAGAGTGAGGCTGAACAAATAGGCTTTTGGAAGCTGTGCCCATGTGTGTGAGTGTGTGTGTGCACACACATGCCGTGCTGTCCTGTGTGTGCAAGAGCTCAGGAGACCACCCATGTCCCATTCACTTCTGCACAGTCATGTGCTTTCCCGGATAAAGAATATTCCAGCTGCTGTGATTTAAGAAAAGATCTGGTGCCAGGCTAGCTTTCTTAAACTGACTGCAAACTTCAGTGGTCGGACCCATGAAAGATCTTAATCTCATCAAACTGGTGGAAGAGATGCCCCTTTCTTAAATTCAAGGAATCTCTTGCCCCCAAAGGACAGGATAGAATTTATTTGTAACGAGCTTTTTTTTTTTTTTTAACCAATAGAGGAGAGAATTTAGCATGGAGATTTCTGGCCACATGACTTTAGGCAAGTTGCTTAACCTCTCTTAACCTCAGTTTTCTCCATTATACACAGTGAGCTCTTGGTAATAGAACCTATGATTATGCAGTAGATGTTTCCAAAGGGTTTGAAACATCCTATTTCTATTCACTTTGGTTATGGGATACCCAAACAAGACTGTGGAATGATAAGATTATCTATTAAGAAATGCAGTCTTCTTGGTTTTCAGTTACAGTAGGGTAAAGAAATGTTATGGTGCCTTTATGCGGACAAGAATCATTTGCAATTTGCATAATTTTTTCTCTAAGCGAATAGGTGCTTTTCAAGTTGACGTAACTTTTCTCCTAAACATTGCTTTTGAACCTGATAAGGTCAAAACTCATGAATCCCAACTAAATTGATACCAGATGAGCAAAGACATTTCAATCTCAGACTTACACAGAAAGAGAAGTTTGTTAGTTTCAAGTCCTAGGAGACTGCAGTAGTTAGTCTCCTTGCCTATTTCTGGCTTGCTACCCTCCACCCCCGCCCCGGGCATGTGAGAGGGCTGTTCTTCCTGCCCCCTTGGGATTTATGGTGGCCAAATGAGCAGTTTGGGCCAGTGAAACTAGGGAGTGGAAATGATGTGTAACACAAGATTCAAATATTGAATTTCTGATGAAAGATTCTTCAGAACTTTCAGTGCTTCTGACCCAGCACCTGGCAGCATTCCAGAAAACGATGACTTGGTTACCTAGGGTCTCAGAGCAATGATGGCTCCAGAACCTCCAGCCCCACTGATCTTTGCAGAAGAAACAAACCTTTGTGGTTTTTAGCCACGGAAAGTTATTGCAACATAACCTGGCTGGCTCAGTGGGCGAAGCATCTGACTTCAGCTCAGGTCATGATCTCATGGTTTGTGGTTCGAGCCCCGCATCAGGCTCTGTGCTGACAGCTCAGAGCCTGAAGCCTGCTTCGGAGTCTGTGTATGCCTCTCTCTCCCTGCTCTGTGTCTCTGTCTCTCAAGAATGAATAAATGTTAAAAAAAAAAAAAAAAAAAAAAGAAATACTTTACTTGACAAATAGGGATGATGTCAAAAGTCTCTTGATGGTGTTAACGGCTTGAAAACATTCCTTTAAGGGGGATAAGTGGGCTTTCTGCTACTAGCTCTCCACTCTTCATTTGCTTTCTTTGCAGATGGGATCAATGGTAGCCAGCTGTCTGGATTTATCTGGAATTCTCACTAAGCAGAGTTGGGAAGAAGGGTTTTGTGGTTTCTCTGAGATACATTGAGGCTTGGGAGTTCTACGGCTCAGATGTGCAGGCCATCACGCCAGCAGACGGGAAGTAGATGGAGACAGTATTAACATTACTGAGTACCAGCTGCATCGGCCAGTCTTTCATGGATCTCTGAAGGCCAAAAGCCCAGTGAGAGTAACGTGGGCCTGTTGGCGTAGGACTCAGGCTCTTCTGCATGGTCCTAGGGGCCAAGGGCATGATCTGTGTCTTTGTCTTCCCAGAAGACTTGAGTTGGCACACCGACCCCAACCTCATCTATTTTGCTGCTCTTCCCTCCATCTTGCTTACTCCCCCACCAACACCACCTTTGACCACATGTTTTCTTATATCTTCAAGTCATACTTCTCGTTCACACCTCTGAGTCACCGTACTGGCCATTCCCCGTGCTTGGAATAACATCCCTCTTCACTGTTCCTCTGGCAACTCCTACTCATCCTTTGGTCTCAGCTTAGATGTCGCTTCCTCCAGGAGGCCTTCCTTGACTTCTTAGTTTCACAAAGCTTCCCTGCTATGGGTCCTCACTGTACCTGCACCCATGGTAAGCCTCACATGACCTGGCTGTGCTTTCTGGTTTCACTGTA